TTTGCTCCACACTTTACTCGGATTGTATGCCTTTTGGCCAAAACATTGGCCTAAAATCGGTATATTTTTCAAACGTGGCCCTGCAGATATACTCGCCACAACAGCTCCAAAGAATATCAATATAAAGAATTTTGTTTTCAACATTTTTATCATTCAAAAATGTGATCTTTGTACAGAATAATTTTACTTAATGAAGATAACGAGTGGAAAGATTCTTTATATAAAGGGAGATCAATTGAAATACAGACTTTATGAATATTTAATAATGAATATTGTTTTTTAGCGATGATGTCAATCCATTTTTTGTAATGTCGTACGTCGAATATACAAAGTAAACAATATATATCATACAAAAACAAGTGCTCACAACAAAATCGATATCATTCTTTTTTCAAAAAATTGTAATTTTATTATTCTTTTCTCACGTTTTTTTGAAAATTTGTCATGCGATTCAAAACAGAAAAGTGATAAATAATTATAATGTCGGTGACTCTGCCGTTCTATTGCCGAAACTGATTGCTCTAAAAGTCATTGGGGGTTCATTTGAAAAGCTATGAATACATTTAATTGATTAGTAATTGATAAGTAGTGAAAGATTGATAGTTTTTATACTTTTCTATTGCGTGATCCTGAATTTCATATCCACTTTGTTCAAATTCATTGGCCATATTATTTATAGAATCTGATGAAACCACGCTTGCCAATACTTCTAATTCATTTTCTTTACAAATATTTGGAAAAGTCATGATCAACTGCTTTGCAATTCCACGACGACGATATTCTGGCAAAACTACTAAACCATCATTTGCCAGATATTCATCAACACCATAGTATTCGAAAATATCGAAATATCCCATTTCAGATATTCGCTTGAAATAAAAAAAAATGTATGTCATCACTATTTGTACTAAAACACTTGTCACATTCTCTTATAATAAATTATTACACAACATATATTAATTACCGATGGTGAGCCTCTCTTGCTCTTCGAACCTGGCTTTTTGCCAATATACAATAATACAACGCCGACCATTTTATCGCTATTATCAAAACAGGCCACTGACAGATTATCGCGTAAAATGATCATCCACCGCTTTCTATGCATTTGAATCCTCTTTTCAGTGATCCCTGCATCATAAGTCACATAAGTTTATTATTTAAAAATTATTTTTATATGTACATACCCAATGAACAAAAATGGTGAAAAATATGCGATTACGCCTAGCTTATGCATACATTATGCAGATTCCCATACAAACGCGTTACACAGATCACCATTATTGTTCATTGCGTAAAAAGAACACAGTGTAAAGAATACCCTTTATTTTACTTTGTTGTTCGTCTTCGAGAAACGGTTTTACTAATGATAATACTTCCTCGAATCGTGTCTTGGGTATATTTCGGATTTGGTATTCAACCGATTCCTTGCCATTAACGTCTGTTGCATTGAATCTACTCCAAATTTTATGCGGATTAAATACCTTCTGGCCCATACATTGGCTTAAAAATGGTATGGCATCTATGCCCGACACAAAAACTCCAAAGAATATCAAGATGACAATTTTTTCAACCAACATTTTTGCTTCAATAGTTTAGCTTATCTTTTATTTGTCTGTTAATTTAAGGCGGTTTCTAAAGAGACTTACTGACGATCATAGACATCTCTCCGATTATATATGAAGAAAATTCGCTGCTCTTAAATTCAAATGCTATTTTTTATTAGAATTGTTTTGCTATTTTTAAAACGTTTGTCAACAAAAACGAAATATTTATAAACTCAGCAAATATAGATATATATTGCCCTTGAGCTTGGTTCTTTTGAAGGCTTCATTATTAAAAGGTCGCAATAAAAAACAAGTGTTTTTTAACAGAAATCGAAAGTTTTTTTCTATTCAAATAATTGTACTTCGTCTCAGCTCTTCAAAAAACCATGTATATCAAAACTTTCAAGTGGAAAGTGATGTAGACATTTTTATACAGACGATTTTTATTGATTAACACCAGATATGAAGAATGATGATTACGATTCTATTTATGCTCATATTTAATTGATCTCAAAGTCAACATCACATCATCATGTGCATAGCTAAAAACATATAAAAACAATTTAAAAAAAGAATATTTCAAAAATATCTAGGGGACGGAAACCATTGGCTAGTTTTTTATATTTCAAGTAAAAACTAGGAAAATTAGAAAAAAACTAGCAAAAACTAGAAAAATTAGCAAAAATTATTTGATCCGCCATTTTGATATTCTGCCATGATTTGGTGACTAAATCAATTTTACAAGTCGACTATTGAAAGAAACAAGTACTTTATGCACGATTTTGTGTTGAAAAAGAATAATTAAACTAATTTTCACTATTATAAGTGTATATTTATTCAAAACACATAAAAATATGTCTGAACAACAAAACGTCAAAATACTTCATTGTGTCAGTACAATCATTTGATTGTCATTTGACAGAACAAAAAACTAGAAAACTAGTAATTTCATAAAGGAATATTAGCATTATTAGATTATTCAAGCAATAAACTAGTAAATTAGCTAAAAACTAGTAAATTAGCTATAAACTAGAAAAACTAGCATTGGTTTCTCTCCCCTAGAAAAATATCTATCTCAACCTCTCTACATGCTGAGTCTCGTAGTCAAGCCCATTTCCAATTTTATTAACAGTTTCATTTGAAACAATTCCTTTGCAATACCTTGACCACGATATTCCCGTAGGACATTCATACCATTAGCGGACAGATACTCATCAACTCCATAATGATCGAAAACATTGAATCCTAAATACTTTGCCTTGAAATGAAGAAGAACAGAAAGTCACATTTGTTTATTATAAAACGTCTTAAAATATTTGCTGATAGATAACAACAAATTAGATATATAATTACTTCTGGTTCTCCTCTTTTGCTCTTTGAACCTGGCTTTTTGCCAATATACAATAAGACAACGCCGACCATCTTATCTTCATTATTAAAACATGCCACTGATATGTTATAACGCAGAACGGATT